CCCCCCCCCCCCCCCCCCCGCCAGTCATTCTACCAATGTAACACTCCAGCGCTCCAACAGCCTCTTGGGTCCGGCCGGCACACACATTTCATCTGGCCTCGAGTCTCAAGGACCCCGTCACACAGAGACAGATGCTTTCCACTCTCTCAAAACCAGCTTTACCAATCAGTCCAGGACTCGGCCTGGAGCAGGGGCCGCACAGCTGAGGCGGGGAAACAACACAGAAAACAAGGCCCGCGACTAGCGGTGTAAGGGAGGTAGACTATTTATTTTGTTTTGTTCCCTGTCATCTTTTGCTGCTATTATATACAGTCTCTGAAGTTGTAGCGATGACAACCGATGTCCCTCTGGGATACGTTTAGTGTTTTTTCTCATCACCGGGTCTAGAGTTAGCTCTGGGCATCTGACTTACATTTTTCGTATTTAGTTGACACTCCATGTGCAACATATGCTTCCCCCTCTGCTCCAGTTTATTTTTAGGATGACTAAATACACATTAGCTCTGAATTTGCCCTAAATAAGCAGCTTCCCTCATGGGGACATGGCATGGATCGGTTTTTGTGCGAGACGTCTCGACAGCGTTTGGATGGATTGCCATTACATTTTAGTACAGATGTTCGTGCTTGATTTTTAAAAAAAGAAAAGAAAGATGCGTCCAATATTTTATGTTTAAGATCAAATAAAATGCACAACTAATGGTATTCCCCATGAGCCTCGGCTGCACTTTGTGTTTGGTGCCAATTATCAACTGTTTGCATGGTAACAATCCTAAACAAAGAGTTTAATGGTAAACATTAAACATGCATAACATCTGTATGGTAGCATGTTAGCGTGCTGATGTTAGCATTTAACATTTAGCATGTTGGAGACTCCACTTCACTAAACAATGGACTATCCAGTGACAGACATCCACTCTGCTATTGTTCTATCGTTCTCCCACACTTTAGCGACACTCGGCGCCCTTTGCACAAGCTGGCCCATACCAATCTGTTTCAGCTGTACCACAGCGGTCTGTCAGCTAAGAGCTATGAATCATTGCCAAAAATAGAGGGAAAACGCACAGGGAATCCTAAACTTGTGGTTTGGCAGTGGCTCTGACAACAAAGCCGGAAACACTGGCTGAGGGGTTCCTCCACAGAGCCAAAAGATGGCAGGGAACCTTTTGGGATAACGTGCATTTGTAGTGCGAGAGCATAAATGCAAAGGTGTGTGAATACGCATCACTGGCAACAAAAAAAAGGCCAACGCATCTTTTCAGTCTTGATAAAAGAAACCATTCTTTGTGCTGCATATTTTGAGAGACGAATGGGACGATGGCCGAGTGGTGGATTTACGAGACAATACCACAATAAGTAATCCACAAAGTTCAGACTGACGACACAGCATCTCTGGCAGTAAGTACAACTGAACTCCCTCAAAGTGTATCGATGTCATGTCCCTCTGGATGTTGATGATGGCTTAGTATATAATATAAACCTTGTATTTTTTGTATTTCCACAGTTTTGAATAGGAGTTCAATAGGAGCCTTGCAGAGCATTATTTGCTTTCAATATGGGCTGCACATTACTAAATGTAGTTTGCCAAATATCCCAAAAATATGATGCATACAAGTTTGTTTCAATGACAACATGCATTACGATAATTACATAATGCTCGGTTTGAAAATAATGAGAACCAGGAAAGATTTGTTTTGACTGCTTGTCGCTATTGTTTTGAATGTGCCACAGTTTTTACTTTGATTGTTTTTCCGGTAGATTAGGGCTCAGCTCAAGGGCAAGAGAGGACAGCAATCATTTCAGGGCCCTAAGCTGATTGTGGTGATGATGCAGTCCGCTCTCGAGAGGCAGATCTGTGGAGGCTGAGGAATGATTACCCAGTGGTTAAGTGAGACTGACGGGGCGCCAACATGCTTGATGATAAAAAGCAAAGCATGACTTTGTGACGATGTCCCATGTTGGTCCTTGATATTGTTTCCCCCCACTTCAGTAATAGAAATGTAAACACCAAAGCACAGTGCGTTTCTGTCTGAGGATTCAATCTCTCCTTCAACTAGGGGAGGACGACATGACCAGAAATCTATGCCACGGTATTTTTTCGTGGGGCGTTTGCATTGCTGGAATTAATAGTTTTCACTATTGCCAATGTCAATGCTATTCCAATATCTTAAGAAAGAAAAGACAACGGATGTTTATTGGCTGCAAATAAGAATGAAAACTAAATATAGACCTACATGTGTTTTGGGAGCATGCTATCATGAATATGATAGCATGTTGAATATCATGCTAGCATGATATTCAACAGGTATAATGTTACCTGGCGCAACATGTTCTCACCAACACAGCTGCTTTCAGTCTGAACGCTCAATATGAATCGCTCTGCAAATGAAGACTTTGAGCTAATTATTACATGGAAAACAGACAAACATACCATTAGGACCACTGACTCACAAAAATACAGACTGCTCAGAAATCTACTGAGCATCTATTTTTTAAAGATAAAATAGCCCAAGCAGGCTAGATGTAATTTCCTGTGCAGAGGCATATCAAACATGAGGCGATACTAGAAATGCCAGCTTGTTAGAAATGAGGGGCTGATGGACCAACTATGCTCTCTATGGAAATGAGAACAGGACATGGGGAGGGAAGGAGGGAGGACATTCAAGTCTCTGACTCTCTGGGTCCGACGTAATCTTCTGCCTGTCCCAGTTTGGTGCCGTGCTCAGGGGGAGACATCTTTTAACAGAATTAAGCCATGTAGGTCAGGGAGCGAGGACTATTAATCAACCATGTAAGTAGGGGCAGAGGATTGGACCGCAGAGAACCCAACACCGGTTCACCAGAATAACAATCACTTTCCATCCCCACCCTGGCAAGGAAATCTACAGAAATCTGATACTGTATACTGTACAGAGACTCAAACACAGAGAGTAGGATTACTTTCAATGTAAAGAGTAGAGTCAGGACACTTACAGATGATTCATTCATGACTTACAGCATTGCACAATTAAAAAATTATCTGGCAGCCATTACTGTAGCACAGATTAAATCTCATCCTTGAACAGATCCGGTTTTCATAAATACAAGATAACTTTACATAATTTCTGTCCTCTCCCCCATTAGAGCATCTGGGAGCGTCCTGAAGATTTGGCAGGAGAGAGTGCACACGGTGTACCGATCTAATAAAGCAGAAATTCTATTAAAACTGTGTTGAATAAAGCAGGCTGAATCACTCAGATGCTTTGCGTTGGCTATTCTTTGGGTAACTTCCCTACTCTCTAGGCTAGGCTAATATAGGCCGATATATCGGTCGAGCTGCGGGGAAAAGTACTGCCTTCACCAACAGTTGCAACTGTCCAAAGGCCAAACTAAATGACAGCTGCAAACATTTAAACAGGCAGCAGTTAAAGGATACGGCTACTGTTATGCTGTAGTTTTCTTATTGTCACAAAAAGACCAAACGTTAGTCCGTCTCTCAACTTCCTCCACGTTTTCCTGTCGGACCCAATCCTATAGGTTCTTCCTGAAGAAAAAAGTTCACAAATATATACTTTCATTAAAAAAAAAAATACAAAATCATTGTATTAAACAGCCGAGTTTAAAAGTGTATTTCTTGGTGACCATCATTCAGCCCCCCGAATACACATTCTGGTGAGTATTTCCAGCAGTAGGACGGTGTGCTCGTGATTGAGTCTAAATAAACTACAGTGAGTGTCTGCTCTACAGTGATAAAGGAACATGCGAGTGGCTCATTGACGTGCTTTTAATATTTGTTGGGCAACAGTAGAGCTCTATATGGCACAGAGAAATAAGATCTGTCAGGCTCCAATGCTTGTTAGAAGGATCCATTCGTTGATTCGGTCTTTTCATGGGATTTGTTGACAGTAGGAGACATTTAGAATATCATGTGCCATATGCAGCTCATCAAAGCTGGTTTCCACGTCCTTGCCACTGTATGACATGCGGCACAACCAGCATAGCCAAATGGAGCCCTGCTCAACTAGAGACTGATACCATGTAAATAAACCTGATTCAGAGTTATATAGTGAGTGTTATTATGAAAACAGTGCTCCCGTGGTGCTTCAATATCATCTCTGACAGCAAAACCTCCCACATGATAGAGCGTCTCTTTTCCTTCTATTATACCCCCTCTATATTATCCTGTACTGTGGGAGCACCAGCATCAAGTGTGTCACCTTGCAAAATTAAAAGGCTTTTGGAATGCAACAAGGTGACTCGGCGCTCACAAACACACATTTATCTGATTCATCAGAACGGCGTGTGGATAGGAATGCTGATGAGCGCCGGGAAAAGGTGTGAACCTCTGCGAAGTCAAGGAGACGGCGGTGACCTCGGAGCGCTGCGAACCCCTTATGGGAGAAACGCTGCGGCTGCTCGGCTCTTTGACTCACTATTGGCTCATAACGAAACCATCCCTGCCACGGAGACGAAAAAATCGTAAGAGAACGGAGCTAGAGAGCTGCACGGGGAGAGATGTGTGTGACGCACACAGCCCGAGTGGAATTATACACGTGTGTGTGTGCGCGTGATGTCTCTTGCATAACAGAAAAAGAGAGAGAAGATGTGAGGCTGAGAAGTCAGCACATTCAGGACACACCATCGGGCTGTGGTGCGATGTGACCTCAATGTATTAGCATTTGTCGCCCCAACGCAGCCTTCCAACACACAGCATGAAAACAGCCAGAAGGAGCCTCCAGAGTGAAACTATTTCCACACACGGGAACATAAGCAGACTTCGTTCATCCAGATCAGGTGCAGGTACATTCTAGCACACAAACACGGGAGCGGAGGCAACCGGACCGACGCGGCATGCACATGTGCAAGAGAGCGCAGGGGAGGTGAATAAAAGGACCTACCTCAAGCAGCTCGGGGAGCAGAAAGCACCATTACATTCACAACACAGCCTCTGAGAGAGGACGCGCGAGAGAGGACGCGCGAGAGAGAGGACGCGAGAGAGAGAGACATAGAGGTGACATCACCATATTTTTTCTTCCTCCTCCTCTGAAATGTAGGCTACCGCTGCAGGGCTACCGTTGTCGGCAGCAGTCAGAGCTCCCTCTCTGTGTGTGTGTGTGTGTGTGTGTGTGTGTGTGTGTGTGTGTGCGCGCAATGACAGACCTCAATCTATTGTAGTTGTGCAACCCCAACAGAGTCCTCAAACACACACACACACACACGCACACACGCACACAATAAAAACACCTGAATAAGTGACATATTGATATCATTCCTCTAAAGAAAAATATCATGTGTTAAATCCTCCATGGGGACTAGCTTAAATGTGACCCAGTATATCACCTGTTACAGTTGTTTGTGTGGCACAAGACATCAGTTTGTAGGGATTTTCTGACACCATATGTGAAATGAAATGAATTGAATGACTGCTCTGCTAACCAAGTTCCTGAGGGAAACCCAGAAGACCTGACACAGGGAGGCAAGCCTGTGACCTGCCACCAAGCAACAACTATGATACAACCTAGAGCGGCGGCACTCGCGTTCCAAAATGCCTATTTCTCAGGGCACGACGGCTGTGCAGCAACACACGTGTCATGTGACCAGTGACTCTTCTGTAAATATCAGTCTATAGTCAATATGAAGGAGAAGTTGATTGTTTTATTGCAGGGCTACACAGCGTTTTATGATCTGTCGCTTGGACAATTAAAAGAAAATATATATAACAGTATTATATTTGCTAGCCGCGACGCTGGTATTGTTTTCAGTGTGTGTGTGTGTGTGTGTCATCATGGCAAAATGTGCCATAAAGACACAAGTTTGCCAGGTGTTTCTATTTCTGTACGTCTGTGCACAGATTTGGTCACATCTGTCAAACTTTACAGATGTGTAGGTTGAGATCAAAATGAAGGTTGAGTACGAAGTTGGGTGTGGGGATGATTTATGTGGAACAGGACTACACTCATCAATTATTCATTTAACGGTTTTCTTTCAATCCAGTCTGGAACATTTGTACAATAATGATAAATGTCCAACATATGGACGTCATAACGTCATCAGAGTCCACTGTGATGTCTGCAAACGTCTTGGTTATCAGGCTCTGATCCGGCACAATTCTGCGGAACAATTGAGGAACATGAGGAATCACAGCTGAGCATTTCTGTCATATTTTAAGATCAAGACCATGAGCAGTCTTTTCCTCAAGCATCCTGTCCACTTGTCTGTGTGATTGGAGATTGTAGTGCTTGTGTGCGTCAACGTGCATGATGTGTGTGTGTGTGTTCCTGTGTTATTACATGTGTGATGTGTGTTTCAGTCCAGCTGCAGGAGAAACATGCTGCAGACAAAAGCACCCAGCTGTGAGCGTGTTCCTGAGGGGAGAAGAGGCTGAGCTGAGGTTGGTGCGCTAGTAATCCTGGGAAAAGACTCACACACTTGCACAAAATAAGCACCCACAATAATAATAATAATAATAATAATAATAATAATAATAATAGCAATAGCATGGCACCGCATAGCTGAGGGTGTTTGGATAAAGACAAATTAGTCAGTGAGTTCACCAGGTGGGCTGATCAAACAACAAATCAGAACAAAAATCTGATTTGACGATTTCATCTGAAGAACCTCACAGCATGTTTTTGGTTTTGTTTAGCAAATGCAGCCCTTCACCCTTCATAATTAAGTCAGAGCACCTCCATGGCCTAAAAACCTTTACTGCTTTGTGTGCTGTTCCTGTGAAGGAGTCTGGTTTCCATTTATTCAAAAATACAATCAACTATATTTCTGTGCACGGTAACATTCCTTAAACATGACAGTAAACATCTCGTTGGGGAAATCTGTCGAATGTACAGAGACATTTCCTAAATATAATCTCAATAGAGAAAAAAACATTCTATCTCACCCTCTCACATTATCGCTCAGGAGAGAGATGCATCGTATTCAATTGAATTACACAGTGGTGTGGAGCTTGAAGCACAACGAAGCTAATCTAGTATCCTAATATAAATGTAGACTGCTAACATTGGATTTTAACAGAAACTTTTTTTATATGACAACTAGGGGATGCTTAAATGTTGATAAGAACACAACAATTAGATGAGAGATAAGAGTCAAACTTATGAAAACACCTGTCTCTAAGGTCTCTTGGATTTTCTATCCCAGCACTTCAGGCGAAGCAGTAATATTATCACACCCTTGCATTATGACTGCTTGTAACGCTGGGAATATATAGGAGAGACATTTACTTTAAAAGAGCTAAATGCCATCCAGTCACTCTATCCTGCCTCCTCTCTGGTCTGATCAGCCCAAATCATCTGGGCCCAAAGACGTTGCGTGAGAGATGCGACACCCACTAAGTGCTGATTCTGTGTGAATAATGCGACTCGAGTACGTGTGAGTTTGCGTCACCGCCGCTGTCCCTTTCCCCTCCGACCGCGGCTTAGCCCGAGGGGATTAATACAGCCAGACCTTTGGGGATTTTTGGAGAAGTGCGGCTGGAATACGTCGCCGTCAAAAGCTGGTGAGGTTTTTGTTGACCATAAGTCGGCGTGGGCGCTTACACTCTCTCTGAGCATGAGCTCGGCAAAAGAAAAACACCTCCATCATTGAAAAGCAATACACTTTGCATCCCTCAGAGAGCTGCAGCTGCGCACAGGACTCTGGAGTCTGAGTGAGTGAATTAGGACACGAGGAAGCAGAGCATGTACAACACTTGGAACTCCTTCAGCTCAACAACAAAGCCTGAGCCAAGGAGAGGCTGTAACTGTATCAGTGACCAGATACGATCATGATGAAAAGTCGTACTGCAAACAAGGGTTGTGGATGTGATGGTGTACACCATGCGGCTGTGGAAATGTGTCCACCGGTAGAGATACGGCAATATCGTTCACACTACGGTGGCTATTCTCACGTTATTTCGCGAGATATTGCGTGAGCTTGTGATGTCCCGCTGCCTGGCAGGGTAACCAGATTTGGGCAGACAAGGAGGAAGAGAGAGAAGTTGTAAATACAGAACAGATCATCAACCCAAGATGAGGACGAACTCTAGTTACATGACCTGACAACTGAACACAACTTTTGACAGGGTTTAGTCGGCTTTTTGAATTAAAAGATGAGCAAATCCTGCAGGAAAGTTGTATTTTTTTTGTTGTTGTGTGGAAGTTCCAAATAAAGGAAATTAATCAAATGTATGTAGGGTAAAATTATTTTAAAAACAATTTCTTAATTGAAATTTATAAAACAATTACTGTGTCGTGATACATACCATCACCGTGATATGAAATGGCATTTACCGCGATAGTAGATTTAGGCCATATTGCCCACCCTATTCAGTCATTTATAGACTAATTACATACAACTTTATAAGATCTTGGAGTGAATGATTAAACATTAAATAGTATTTATGACCATTAGTGTCAATATCAAAGTTACTTTGATTGACTTTTTTCACATTATCATAAAGACATCAATCACTCTGCTACAACAAAAGTGTCCAATTCTTTTAAGATCAGTGGCTACTGAGCTGGACAAAAACGCCTGATGCGCAATTTGACACCCTTAAAAAAGAGCCATGGCTCTGGGCTTCGACACTGTGGATTTTTAGACGTGCGAGTGTTTGTCTCTGTATTTGAAAATATCATGAAGTTGCTTTTACATGGGGATAGAAAATGCAGCTAAAAGAGCAGCCTCCGCCACCTTCTTCCTTAGATTCCTCTCAGAGTTAAAAGAAAGAAAGCTGACAACAAAGTAGTTGAGGAAAAAGGCTTAATGAGCATAACTTTTGCTGTTGCCAATCGTTAACCTGAGAAAAACATAAAACATGCTGGGCTCTCGGGCTTGTCTAGCATGCATAATTGCTGCACCCTGTTTTAAAATAGAGAGACAAAGAAAACACACTGGGAACAGTGGGGATGGAACTAAAACATTACAGCACTGGGAAGCAGCAACTGCTCAGTCACTGAAATACCTTCTGATCAAACATCCCTCAGAGATTCCTTAGTACACGTATATTGCCTTTGTTCCTGCAGGAACATATTTAAAGCCACAACTAAAAAAAAAAAAAAAAAAAAAACCTTCAAAAGGCGTTTCCCGAAGCACACGAGTAGAGTAATACAGCAAAAGTAAAGGCATACTCTCGGGCCTTTGTTTCCATTGTGTTCAAGGAAGACAAGAATATATTGTCGCTGGAACAGTGGGTTTAATTCATTCAACAGTAGTCAAATATTTTACCCAGGGAGTTAGTTTTTCTTTACTGTCTCCTCTTGAAGATATTCCGTGGTGCAGCCCTCAGTACAAAGCTAGGTGTGGTCAGAGGCAACACCTACGGTCCAAGCCAAGATTTAATGAGTCAACTCGTGAGCTCAGACACAATGGGGTTTTTTTTGGGGTGGACTGTGGAAGTGGCTTTAATGACAGTTATGCAGCAAAGCAAGATTCCTTAGTGACTCATAATACCATTTGTGGGAAACAAAGAAGACTCATAATGATTATACCAAAGAGCAAAGGAACACATTGTTTGGGAGGGATGCTTTATTTAACTTGTCAAGATCTTTCACACCTAAAGGGTGACTTTGGGCTTTTTCAACATGTATTTTTAAATGTTTTTGTGTCCAAGGGACTGATGGGGACAACAATTGTTATTAGTGTGTGTGTGTGTGTGTGTGTGTGTGAGAGAGAGAGAGAGAGAGAGAGAGAGATAACATTACAGAAAGAACCCTACAGAGAAACAAACACTTTTTCTTTTTCTTTCGCTTTCTGTTTGTTATTGTGTCCTGTGACTTGTTGCCGGGAGACAGCGGTGGAAACGTGAGTAAGAGTCGGAGAGAGAGTTGTGCCGGTGTTGTGTTATCTGAAAGATTCTCAATGTACTACGTTTTGATACGAATGTCCTCGGTCAGGAAAATCTCACCCTAACCTGACTTGCACACCGAACACACACGGTTCGGCACACATGAGGGTAAATTGTGATTAACCATCATAGCGTGAAATACAGTTTTACTGCCAATCGGTATTCGGCGATATTAAGTCAAATATATGCTATAGGAGATGGGCATTAATGCTTTATAGATGCCAATCCCTGATAAAAAAGTTCCCCACATCCTGTGAGCGAAAGATGAGTAAGGCCATTTTAAGGAAGTCATGTTCATGTTTTCCACTGGATCAGAGAACCGCTAATCTGGATGGTCACACGCGTTGACACGACAACTGATCCACGATCACAAGTCAGCTTTGGAGGAAATGGCGTAAGTAGATCAAAGGATTTGTCCTTCAATATCTAGACATTTGACATGATGTCATTCTCAGTTTGTTAAGGGCTTGAGTCAGCGAGACATACACGTATTTTAAATCTGTAGCACAGGCCAACACTGCATCTAAAGCTGCTTCTGCTTGAGTTTCCCACATTAGGTGTACAGCCTTGAAACCAGCAGATCTCTCTGTGATACAGAAGGAAGCTGTAGTTCAGGTGGGCAGTAATAAGGTTCCTCTTCTTCCGAAGCTATGCTCTGGGGGACGACGAGGGTGGACGCTGAAGTTAATGGAGTTTGACACTAAAAAAAAAGGGCTTGACGCTCCCACGCTGCTTCATCAAACAACAAACTCTGCTCAGCAGTGGACCTGGTGCGAGGCAAACACTGGAAACCTTTCATCACCGGAGACAGGTGCATATTAAAGCCATGTTTGTTCAGTTTTGTTTGATGTACGGGAGCCGAGGGTAGTTGAGCTTCTCAGAATAATTAAAACGGAGACAATGAACTGGTTCCATTGGAACAAAACCAGCTGTTTTGGATGGTAATAAAAATCTGTTGAACCACACGCTTAAGTAAAGCGGGCCGAGGCCTAACCTGACTTGCTTGCCGCTTGTTGGGCAAATCCCCACCGACAGGAAGTGCGAGGCATCTCGAGCCCATCTGGCATTTGTCAGAGCAAATGCATCCAATCAGCCAAACCACAGCCAGTGGCCCGAGTGTCCCAGCTGGGCAGATTACGCCACGCTGATGCACTGGCCTTGGCATTTCAATAACTTCAAGAGCGACGCAGCGTTTGTTATGGCTCCTAATAGTGCGACTGTCCGGAGGCAGGAAGGGACGAGGCTGTCGCTGTGCCTTGCCAACAGGTGAATATTTGCTCAGTAAGGGACTGAAATTAAGGGGGTCGTTTTATTGTTTCATAACGCGGTTGCTGTGAAGCCATTTGAGGACTGATACTGTGATTAAGGACAATAAACGCAGATTTCACGACGCTTATAGATTATACCCTACACTGGTATCAGCTGAGATTAGCACTCACCACATTTTGTCCTACTGATATTACCCACATTATCAGATTTCTCATGTGCAAACACATAAAACAATAAAACGCAAATGAAAGCTACTGTGAACACAAGGCCTTTCAGTTCTGGAGGTACATGTGGATGTACAGTATAATGTCCCACAACTAAACACTGATGTGTCCAATTGTATGCATGCACCTAATTTACCTAACGTGTCGTAGGAAAGAATCATTTATGTAAAGCAGGAATATACCAGGCCTTGTTAAATGGCTGGTATCCAAAGAAACAGCACCTCTCCTCGCGACAAGTTAGTCCTCCCAGTTAGTCCTGCTGTCCCAGCACTTGGCATAATTAATCAGCATCATTATCATAACTGTGCATCTCACAGTAAATGTCCCACTGAAGCCCTATTTTCCTTGGCGATAGTTCTCCATAAAGGCTTCATAATAGGTAACAATAAATAGAAATTGCAAAAAATTGCCACTGCGCATTATAATCTGGTCTTGAGTCCAGAATAACACATTTGCTGTAGCATACCGTTTGCTTTTCCAGTTCGGTGTTCCCCCTACATCATGAGCGAACAACCCAAACAAAAAAATTATCTATTTCTGTTTTCCTTTGCATGAGAGTATTTATACTTGTACTCCCAAAATTAGATTCTGCATTCAAATGTGGATCTGCGTGTGTCTGCCAGAGCAGTGAGCAGGCAAAAGGCTGAGGTTAGAGAAGGGCAGAAAGGAAAACTCCATTTGGATGGCAAATGAGCAGGTCGCTGTTGTGACCGCGATCCTCCCCTCAGCAAAAGTTTGGCATGGAGAGTCTGGGATGACCCTTCATTTACATGCAAATAAGCAGCGGATGGAAAACATGGAAATACAGTATGTCAGTTGGCACAGGTTCACAGAAACAACCGACTGGTGCTTTCCTCATTGACTCAAATTGCCTGACGTCAATTACAAGTCAATCAATTCCTATTATCAGGACTATTATATGCAAACGCATAAAAAATATGTGAGGCCTTCAAATTAAGAATTAGCTACCAACTATAAAACCTAATTTAGGATCCACATAAATGGTTGCCATCAGCGGCAACCACTTTTTAACATGTAGAAAAACTGGGAGGGCAAACATGGACCCCAGTCTCTTTAACTGTATTATGAGAGGGGATTCAGTTAAGAGAGCCAAGATACACTGGAGGTTATCTCTTGAGGGACCCACAATTCAACACTTCATTGCTGATGGGCCAAAGGATCTGTGGCGGGAATCAGAGCAAAAGCCCAGAAAACCAACATTTGAAAGGGAGAGAATGGATGCTGGCAACCACTTTTAAAGGTTTGTGTTGAGCCCTTTATAGAAAAAAAATACAAGCAAGAGTGGATAACCAACATAACATGTTATCTGATATCAGATATCTGAAAACAGACCAGGATCTGCCAGATGCATCCGTTGTCTGACACAATTAGGAACAGGCCAGTCTCCTGTTTCTGCTGCTGGCTTCTGTCAGGGGAAAGTGGTAACAGAGCACCAGGGCTGAGGAGGCTGCAGACATGCAACACTGCAGCAGGATCATATGTTTGAGGGTGGAGGGGTAATATGTAGACAGCAGGGGAGGTCAGGTAGGACAAGCAGCCAGCAACATCTTCAGCACCCCAGGCTGTTCTAGAACCACACCACAGCCAACAGGGTTGCTAAGTCACTGTATTTCGCCATGAATCTCCCAGATACAGTGTGGCTGCAGGAAAATCCGATCAAGCATCCATAGCCATTCACCACTTTGCTGCATACAGTAGCACATCGCGTACTAACTGCACAGCTGCAAACAAGCTAACGTTACACACTTGTAACTAGATGAAGATTAGTCCCAAAAAATGTTCCCGCCGGGTTATGCAAAAGTCGTACGGGAAGCGTACGGAGAAACTGCTCGACTTCCTAATTAGCTGTTGCTAGCCCGGTTTATTACATAACAGTACGCACTGCTTGACTGCAGAGTCACGTCTGTGAACTCGCAACAGACTCTCAGAGCGAATTGGAAATTGAGCTAACGTTAGCTGCGTTTAGCCAGCATTAGCAGGCGGTGGAAGGCAGCATTCGTGTTATGTTTTTGTCATTGGGTTTACGTGGCACTTAACGTTACCTTTGCTTCGCTGGGGGTCTCCCGGTAGGTTGTCTGACTGGCTCACGGAAGAAAAACGCTGGCTGTAAATGTGAAGGCACTCCTCCGGGATGTATGTCTGACTGCTAGCTGTTAGCTAACGACGTGTTAATGTTTATTACCAGGTGTTCACTGCCCCTGCTTGTGATGGCTCGCGTCCTCCTCTGCCCAGCGGCGTCACGTGGGTCCAATATTAAAGCTTGAACAGTTAAAATCTATCTTCATTGGTATTGGTATGCTTTCTACTGTCTATCGCCTACTGATACTCAGCCAACTTGATAACCACTAGTCCACGCGCACGATTCTGTCGTGGTTCGACTGGTAACCGGTCAATGCAAGCGGAATGCACAATATTTCCGGTTACAAATTTCAGACTAAAAGCCGCGCACGAAGATACACTAAATTTGCACAAAAACAAACAAAACAAATCATAAAAATCGTACAGGAAATGGGGCATGACATTCCCTTTCTATGCATATCTAAAAAAAGAATGTGGGCTTCTTCTTCGTTCTTTTATTGTATAGTTTCTGTGAATACAATTTTCATATTTTTGATTTGTTTAAACATGTTTTTTTTATTATGTATTATTTCATTATTAGTGCTTTCTCTTTACTTTACTATATATATATATATATATATATATATATATATATATACATACTGTATGTATAAAATCATATGATGGTAGAATTAAAAGTAGTAGTCCTGTTTTTATTTTGAAGGCTGAACATTCAATATCCTGTCTCTAATCTATAACGAGGTACCTTGATGCAACAACTGCAGACTTCCTCCCTTGTTTCTGCTCGATGATCATCTGATTTGCCTGGCTGGACAGGGCATCGTAAACATGTGATCAGTCCAGTCCACTTTCGCTCCAAATGCAGTCCAACTGAACACTTTCAGATTCTTGATAGTCACCATTTAGTTATGTATTCGATGATGCCATTATGGCCCTCTTCACTGGGTTAATTCATGTATGCAATTCATAAATTAAATGCAGCAATTTAGGAATTAAGTTTAATGAAATATATTTTTGCTGAAATTATATTTGTGTATGTGGGGTTATATAACATCATATAAATAATATATATACATATATAACAGCATGCTTCTGGGATTCATTGTGGTGAACTTGCTATAACGGGTATCCTATCATAGACGTATTTGACATATTTTAAAGTTCCTATGGTAATATTGAAATTAAACAATTAAAAGAACCTGTAGGTTTATAAACTGTACACAGGATTACTACAGTTGTTTTCAGTCAAGGAGCCGCATGCTTGGATAACTAGTGGCTGATGGAGGTATAGGTTTAGTAGAGTCTAGATTCAGCACAAATCACTAACTGCAATACATTGGCTGCTTCTGGCCTTCTAATGAAATGTCAGATGTCACCCATGTCTGTCATTACGGAGGTTCTCTCGTGACCATAAACACCGGAGAACCATTTTTATTTTATTTATTCTATTCTGTATTCTTATCAGACAATGAGAAAAACACTTATATATATTTACTGGTCATTACATTATTTTATATTTTTAGTTAAAATAAAAATAATACAAATATATACTATTTGGACTTGTGATTTCTGCTCACGAATAACATCAGCATGGGCATGCAATGATCATAAGGCAAAATTAAATTAAGATTGATGATATACCATACACACAATACATCTCAATCACACTTTCACTGTTTTCTGTAGAGCCGGTCTGGTGGACTCTGCTTTCTGCAGATTAACCAACTAATTTAGGGGGGAAGCTGCACCATGGGTCCCTTTCGACCACTCGTCTTGCCTTCTTTACACACATCCACATACCCAGAGCTCATCATGTACCCATAGTATATCTTTTTCACATTCTCTTGCCTGTCCACCATGAGCTTACAGTGACAAGCGACATAGGCTACAGCAGGAGCGTTTCTAGGATTCAATGAAAGGGGGGGCTAAGCCCCAAGGGGAGTGGTATGTTGGCGCGCGCAATTTTTTTTGGGGCCCATTTTGGGTATATCAGTTGTTTCAGACAGTTCATAGATTGGTTCAATCAGAAAGAGTGTGATTTTGCTCTGTAGTTTTGCTTGCATTCAGTATATGATAACACAAGAGACAGAATTTCAGGATCATAGTGAAATTTGACAGCACAAATATGAACTTTTCTCAAATAAAGAGAGAGAAATAATTTTCCTGCTTGTAAAGGAAAGACGGATAAACTAGCTTTCATATCCGCGTCACTCCCAAATCCTAATTCTTAAAGGGACCACACACATTGGATGGAGAATGGACCTTGACAGTGTCAACTTTATATCGTTAAGTATGATGATAGGCTATTGGATTGTAATTTGAAGGGGGAGAAAACATACAAACCAGAACGCACCACAGATGTAGCATATTAGAGTTATAAATAACTTGTCCATGTGAGAAACAATAGTTTAATTTAATGACATCACCAAAAAAATTTTTTTTGTTCTTCAGCCCCCCCAAATTATTTGGGGGGGCTGAAGAACATTTTAGGGGGGCTTCAGACCCCCTACAATAGGCCTAACGACGCCCCTGGGCTACAGCAGACCATTCTTACATAAAACCTTAGCGGTAGTATGCAATAATAATACATGTAACTGAATTTAAAAGCACAAATATAAATCAATGCTTTATATTCGTAGCCCTGGGTCACTGGCTATGCTATGATTATGTGACCTTCTGTGTGGTATGGCCTGTCCTTCATCTGTGTGTTTTTGACTGCTCCCTTCTCCGCCTCCTCTGTTTGTTTCCCCCCTACACACAGCCTCTTGTTTCCCACAATGCTCTGCGAACATCACCACCAAGATGGCGGACGCTATGGAGGAATATGAGAAAGAAGCTGTCTGCGTCCCTATTCTCCATGCCGAGGTAAAGTATTTGGACTTCACTCCTTCGCACGGACACATAAACATACACAAAACGCATTACGCCGGTCGGTGTATGGGTGGCTGTTGGTTTTTGCCGTGCTTTTTTCAGAAACTCCGATGCCCCCTGCAGGACCAACGGTGGGGGGTGGCAGGAAGCTAACGATGCTAACGGTGCTAACGCTAGCCCCCCTCCTCCTGCTGCATTGCAAGGAAATGCTGGGCAGATGTTCCTGTTAATTTCAACGTTATGCTAGGTGGTGCTTTATGTGGCAGGGACGCCGTGCAGTCAGTAAACGAGATTGTAAACTGTGTGCTTAAGTCTGTAATGGAAAAAAGTAATGTTAATGCTTAATCCTTGCAGTCGTACGACGTTAGCTTTGTACGTTAGCGGAGCTGGTAGTGGTAGCTCTGGTAGAGCTGCGGTGAGGTAAATTGGGGTCAAGTGTACATGAAGCATCAACCTGTGGTGTCCAGACGGCAATCATAATAACTTGACATATACAGCCACGATTGAAAAATGAATCACACTTTTTTCTTGTTGACGATAATCGTGTCTTAGTATGGGATATTGTAGTCACTGTCAGCTAGCTAACCCAACGTTACAGGTTCCTCTCGGAAGGGATTTACAGTAACCTAACAATATCTGCCAAGTTGTCATTTGTTAGCTAGCATTCGTCGTTTCTATCATAATACTGTTGTGCTAGGAATACGATTCATGATAAACAAATTAGTTTTAAGGAACAATAAAGGATAATGTCGAAGTAATTTTCTTTCTAACAATGACTCAAGAAAGAAATCACATTGCAGCTGAAAACTATTCATTTCAACATTGTTAGCTAATGACACCTAGCTAACAGGAAGTTGTAAACCTAATTGAGCCTAAGTTACCTATCTTTATTCGTTTTTACTACAGGTAATTTAAGTTCCATGTGACTTAAATGATGATTGGTCACAACAGCCTATGTGGCTCTTTCTGTTTATCGAGATCCAATGGCTTCACCTCTTATTTATTCTACATCACGTGCATGTAGTGCTGTACTTTGCTACAGAGCAGTATGCATCAATACATGGTTCTGGATAGAGCTAGGTTTTGCATATGGAACGCAGATTGGTTATTATCTGCGCTTTGCAGGTGAACTAAAAACCAGTAAGAGCTCATATTGCATACATCAGTATGCCTCAATGATAGTTGGCGTGCTGTTCTCTCAGTGGTCCAGTTTTGCTTGTTGGTTTGCAGCCAGCAGGTTAAGTGGGTTACTTTACCTTGAGGCTTGGTCAGTATCTCTTAATCCTGGCAGTGCACAGTTCAAATGATTCATATATTTAATGTCCAGTGTGTCCTGAAAGTGCTGACGGATAAGTTCATATAGCTATTTTGGCTGGTAGTCCAAACAGTTTAATCAAATAACTGAATGTAAAAGTCCCGCTCACACATTATGTAATTATGTATGGAACTTAAGTGGTAATGATGCTACATCTTAAGCAGTCAAATTGCCACAAATAGATTTGCCTCCACTGCGGTAAGTCCACTTAATACTCCACTTTTGTGAAGGCTCATACTGTATGTTAATTTGGTGTTTATGTCAAGTTTGGTTTGCACAAAGGAAGGAGAATCAGACTGTGGAAGACAGTAGTTTGTAAGGTTATTCTACATTTCTTTATCTTACTAAACTAAAACTAAATACTCTATTTTCAATCAACTCAAATTGTAGATCAGAGAAACAGTCAATGTGATTTTGTTTAAACTTTATATACAAGACCATAACGGTGCTTAGGCCTTGTGTAAAGCATCAGCGTGGAAAGTGTTGGTGCAGAGGGAGCTGCAACACCCCTTTTTTCTTTCTGTAGGCCTTTTGTTTAACTGCAATTGAAAATATAAATGTATGTATTATTTGAATAATATCCTCGCTGGTCTCCTATATGATATGGTTGCATCTTCACTGTCCTGCGTCATTATAAACTATAGTAGTAACATGGTTATGGGTCATCCATACGCTGCCTCACTCCTCCTTCCTCTCCTCGCAGTTGTCATGCATCAGCTCCGCGTCGTCTATATGTTGGTGTTCAATTCAGCTTTTCTAAAATCGGGGGTTTCAAATTTTCATGGGGGAGGGTCCCCAAAAACCCCCGCTCCCCATACCCCAATGGCTGCATGGCACGAAGCCCTCTAAAAACCCGGCTGCCTATTCAAATTAAAGCAATAAACATGAATGTCACGCAGCATGTAGTATTTAGTCTGACTTCATCTCAGCACAGCACAGACTTCCAGTGTCCCTGACCCAAAGTTGCCGCAACCTCCAGTGTCTTTAAAACCTTGTGGCTGCACATACACATGTCATATTGCAAGAACACGTCTTGACAGTGGTAGCTTCGTCATAGATTGAGTTTTTTTTTGCCTATGCATGCTTGGCTTAAAGTTGCTCCTTTTTTCAGCAGGGTGCTGCTGGAAATCTGGGTCATCGGGTAGATTGTAGTGAGAGCTCTCTCGAGGAACATAACGGACAAATGTCCTCGTCTCCTGATCTCATTTGAAAATGCAAATGAGTGTTCTTGCATAAAAGGCACATAAAAGAGGGTACATGCTCCGGCACTTGATTTGATACTTTACAAACTGGAAAACATGCATTCTGTTTCCATAGAGCGTTCACATTAATGCCCTCGTAAAAAATAGTTTCCCCCTCTGCTTCCTCCCGATCCGTGGACGTACTGTGCCTTGAGTATTGAATTAGTCCCCCGTAATGGCTCTCATTTCAGATCAAATCTGATGTTGAGCTACGGCCACAGCCAGCAAGAAAAAGAACACAATAACAGTGCGACCTAGTCTCAGCAAAGTAGTCATTACAGATGCAGTGATAAACTATTATAATTATAATTATTTTGTATCTTTGTGTATGTGTTCCTGATTTTAAAGTGGATTCCAAACTGAATTGGTCACCCGTATTTGACTGATGATCCTACTGTAAACCAATAAACATGCATTTTGACGAAATGGCGCTGTGCAACATTTTTGGCTCGAGACACACGTGACGTGAGTGGGTGCCATATGTCCCACTGACCAGCTCCATTGATGAGAGCCAAGCCTGCTGCCTCACCGAACAGATGAGACTCCAACCTAAAATCAATGGTTGGTGTGAAATGGAACATATTTTGAGGATATCATTGCTGCTGTTGTCTATTTGTTTTTTTGCATCACCAGGAGGCGAAAACCGCTCATTGCCACTGTATTAATCTGACGCCATTTATAATAATCAGTATTTTTTAACAGTTCAAATATGAGGAAATTGTGAATGTTGTCACATCATTTTAGCTAACATTCCCTTTAATTTTCTCAGAAACTTGACAGTAAAATGGCAGCTTTGTGTTTGTCCCTCAGTTTAAAAATCCTGGAGCTCGTTGTTAATTAAGCGCCTCAATATTTCAGCAGAGAACACAGTGTCGTCTGCAGATTTGATTTTGTTACACTCTTTGTGTATAGAGTTTTGTTGCGTGATCTTACTGTGGACATACTGACATTGCCGCATGAGGGCGACCATCTGAGCTTTGATGTCATAATATTTGTTGAACCAAGGTTTCACATTTTCGTATTCTTTCAAATCTTGGCTTCTGCATTGGTGGTTGTAATTGTGGTCTATCTTGGCTGATTCTTCGGCTTTGAATGTTGCATATTCGTCCCTCGTCTTTTTTTCCTCTCTGAGATTGTCCGTCAGCTCCTGAACACAACCTTCCAGAGAAAGGTTGTGTTGGGTCAAGGCATTGTTCTCCTCCAGCCTTTTTCCACGCTTCTCTTCCAGGTGGTGTTGCCTCGTGATATACTGCAGGAGGTCCTGAGCCTTCTGCTCCAGCACATTATTTGTTTGTTGTTCTTCTTGTACAGACCTACATTTTTCCTCTAAGGCTATTTGTCTCTGGAGTTTAATTGCGGAGGCCATTTGATGGGATTTGTTTAGATCACTAGCTGCTCTCGTATGTGTGAGTGACACACACACATACGTCCACGTTGCTTCAAGAGCCTACATGTAGCGATGAACAACATCTCCAGGCTGCTAAGAAGCTCCTGTTTCCTGCTGTGTGCTCCAGATCACATGCTGGATTAGCCAGTTCCTGATGACTGATGACCACACTGATATCGGATCGCTACCCGGTATCAGCTGATACCCAAAGCCCAGGTATCGCTAATGGTATCAGAACTAAAAAAAGACAGATTGGTGCATCCTGTGGTGGAAAATATTCCTATACTCGCTTTGAGTCTTTTACTGCTGAAATAAATAATACTGAAAACCAGGTTGTCTTTTAAGTATTTATTCTCTGCACAGAGAAAGTTCAATCATCACAACAGAATGTGTACTCTCAGGGAGGAAGAACCAAGAAAAAAGTGAATGTACCGGTACTTTCTTTATACAGAATGAGCAAAGGTGGGGGCCGATGGCCAATGTTAGACATTTTGGTCTCAGACTTTTGGTTTCAGACCAGCCACCGGCCACGGCCAGCAACCAAAACAAGCGGCCCAAAGGCCTTGGTGGTGGAACATTATCATACACCACAGTTAGTTATCTTTGTGAACAGGCAAAGGAGGATTCTTCTTTTGCACAACAGAGACACGGTGACGTTCAACAAAGTTCAGAGCAAAATGACCTATGCATGAATACAATATACTGAGTAGAAATATATATATATATATATATATATATATATATATATATATATATACCAAGTAAGTAGAAATATATGCTATGTAAAAAATGATCATTACAATCCCTAGTCTGGAGAAATACACATCAATAGTGTTACAAATGCTATCATCAGCTTTTTAGATTGCAGTAAGGAAATGAACAGAGAGCGTTGGGCTGCTGTGACTGAAGTCAAAGGTTATCTCCATGGAAGGTTGAGATGGAGAAAGTGATTGAACAGCTGCTGTCTGAGGGTTTAGAGCCAGGATGTCTTTGTCCTGTCCCTGGAAAGACATGGGAAACCGTTTCCTCTCAATTGAATATCCAGATGAGGAACACATTTTTCCTGTTTGTCAATCTACCGTAGGAAAAAGGCTCAGCACAGTCCCGATCATACTTGAGTTACTCTCACTTTTCTCTGGCAGCCAATCTAGTCTGAATAGCACATGGTCTAGTTGAAACAGATCGCACGGATTTGCAAATGACCAAAACTTGGCTATGAGAAGCAGGAACGCTTGCTGGCAGCTTTGACGACTTAAAAAAAACAGGAATTAAAAATATGCGGTGGTCACCTTCATATTCCCACCTTCACACCCTCCTCCTCGGTCTTATTTACTCCGAAATAAAATCCCTCGTCTTAGCCTCTGTTTATCTCCCCTGTAGTAGCACAGCAACATTGATGCTTTTCTCCTCCTTACAACTGATGATTTTTAATGCTTTGGATTTCGGAATTAAAACTCATTAACTCATTAAATGCAACGTTGGGTAACGGCACCAGAGAATGTGAAGAGGATGGAGAAATATGACCGGTTCTATTTATTTAACTTGTTGGGGCAAATGTAGAGTTGTGGTTTTGAGGTCTGACATTATCACATCACATCAGTGTGTATATCCAGAGATGACATAAAATGTTGGTTAGGTGGTTTATTTAAAGCCATGAGGACCATGAAACTGTATTTCTGATGTGCGTTGCTTCTGTAATTTCACATAATTTCTTGCAAAAACAGGGTATTGAGACAGAGACTCCAAATACCTTCTGTGAATGTATTTTTAGTTCATGTTAATATACAACTAGCACCAAGTAAAAACCAAAATCACAATTTTTCCAGAAAGTCAGAATGGCAAAGGGCCGTGTGAGAGCTCTGTGTTTACCTCACGCAGCCCTTGTTTCCGGATGATGGAGGCTAATTACGGTTGTCCGTGACGTTGCTATGGAGGCTAATTGAATGCGAGTTGCACAGTCGTGCGACAGATTAGATCTTCACCAGCAACAGGACCCGACAAGCCTGTCTTTGTTTTTGTCCCGCAGCCTTTATTTCCCTCTCTTAATACAGCAGTCATTTATTGGAATGAGTGCGGAAGTGTCATCTTTGAGCGGGGCCATCACCAGGGGCTGAATCGAGTAGTTCAGTTAAGCCTGTCCATCTTGCACAATAATGTTATTTTGCTCTCTGAATAATTCTTGCTGACTAAAATTTTGATGGCCCTGAGCGCATCGGAGCACTCTTGTTTCTTTATTGTTTCCAGATGAATCCGATTCATAGACTTTTTCACAGACATTTTGACTTGTCATAGCGGAAGAATCACAGGTGGAACTAATAACATTAATGATGGCTCAATTCAAGCAATCACTGCTATGCAATTCTGCAATTAATAATGGAATTATACCTGTGTTGACAAGTCACCACGCACGTGTGCACCAAGCGGCTATCTCTGGTGCTGAAAACTGACAGTTGATCAAATATCCACTTGAGGCTGGTCAACCAGGAGGCCGCCATGTTAAAACAGCCTGGTACAAAAACAGTTTGGGTCTCTATAGCTAATATTCCCGTTCATGACAACTGAACAGGGAGTGAAGCTGTGAAAGTCCAGTCAATACAGCCATCATTGTTTGAAGGTCAAAGTCTTTGGTGGTATCTTGTAACTGTCCGTAGCTCCACCCAGCTGGTCATGTGTAGACTCTGCTGCTGTGGGCACAGCCACTGATTGTATCTTATTTGGTGGACAAGGCCAAGAAAATATGGGCTCAAAAGATGCAGTGTCTGAAGACTCAAAGCACTTACAGAGATTTTCCAGTTTAGCAACCCAGTGTTGACATTTGTAGCATTTAATGTTTTTAGGATTAAAGGGATTGCATTGAACTTCATATCCTATCAAACCCTTGTCACAATTGAACGGTATTAGGGCTGTCACAATAACTGCAATGTTGAAAAAACCTGCGCTATTGACGAGCCAACCACAAGGGATGGCAAGCAACCGCTACGTTCACTTAGTTTATTTCTTTGCAATGGGAGCGAGACGCTGTGCGTCTGTTCTGCACTGAGCACTGCACTGTAGGTGTTTTTTTTTTTTTCTGATTGCCGAGAGTTGAAAAATGTTCCACTTTGGGGAAACCGCTGCGCTCGTCACTGTCACTTTTCACTCAGCTGTACAATCACGATGTAGGCTACAAATGCTGAACAGCATGACATTCCCCAAAAAAACATTTAAAATGCTTAAAATTCAGCCGAAATATATTTTCTGTTCTCAAATAACACATAGGGTTCAAACAAAAACCAACAAAAACCTTTATCTGATATGACATAGAATGACCCATAAATTAAGTATATAATACACACCTGCAACCACATCCCACATGCCAGAGCATTCTTGTGTGTTCCAACATCACCCTCATGATCTAATAAAGCAACACAACCTTAACAACTTGTCTTTATCTCTGTGTTTCAATCTCTTGTCCTCCTTTTCAGGAAATCAAGCCCCAGAGTAATTTCAACCACGGCTACAGTGAGAACGTCAGCCGTAAAAACCATGTGGACGACTACAGCACCTGGGACATTGTCAAAGCCACACAGTGAGTGGAGCTTATGGATATGTATTATATATGCGTTGTTGTCTCACAACGACATCAAGATAAGCTTTGCGCTCTTTCGGTCATGTTGTCAGACTTTGATGCAACCTCAGAAAATGATGAATGGATTTGTTTGGTTTCGTCACAACTTACACTGGTTAGTCTCAGGAAGGTTGTCATTGAGGATGTAACTTTTTATTCCAAATCCAAACTGTAGCTTGGAACTGAGATGACCTATGAACAATGTACCCCCAATGAATTTCTTTGCAAATTTCTTTTTACAAAAATTGGAAAACAATGGAAGCTATACATCAGCTATATAACATTTGAGTATTACCAATATTTGATAAAAAATGTGGGTCCACATGCTATACATGCTGAACTATTTACAATTTTACAACATCTACTTACTGTCTCTCATGTCCTCTCCTCTCTGTTTTGTGTAAAATGCCTGCAGTTCAGTCCGGAGTTTTTATCACGTGACTGTTGGTCTCAGCCAAGTTGATCATGGCTTTCCAGTTGCGCTGAGAATCGCAGAATTGAATGTTTTTTACAGGATCTGTCTAGTTCAAACGGTTTATTGTGAGGCATGTAGAATAAAGTGATTTAGATATTTTTTGAAAAACACAATTTTAAGCTTAGATGTGGTTGCTTTTCGTGACGTGTTTGTCCCACATGATGTGTTAGACGACCATTGGAATATTGAAAATCAGATAATATCTGCTTTTCTTCTGTAATTCAGGCTTTTTTTTTGTTTGTTTTTATAACCTGCTTTTCAAGCTCTTGACTTTCTGAAAAAAGTGACATCATTACTGGATTGCAGCATGTTTACTTGTTAATTTATAAGCTTCTGTGTTATCACGACACTACATATTTTAAATCCGGATCTAACGGCGCCGTGTTTTTGACTGTGGTTGTCTGATTCACATTATGCTAAAGAAGTCATTCACAAGCTCAGAGAATAATGAGAGAAGGACAAATGTGGAAATGTTTCCTGATAAGACAGCAGAAGCGTTGTATGTGATACTACATTAGACAACAACAGATTTATGTTGTTTTGATTTGAGGTCAGGAATATCTGTTTAAAGACTCTGTGTGTGTGTGTGTGTGTGTGTGTGTGTGTGTGTGTGTGTGTGTGTGTGTGTGTGTGTGTGTGTGCGTGTGGCTAGGTTTTCTGTGTTTAACCCTCTGTTCGTCTGGATACTTTAATCCCTCTGCGCTCCTCTTCCTCAGGTATGGCATCTTCGAGCGCTGCAGGGAGCTGGTGGAGGCGGGCTTCGATGTTCGGCAGCCAGACAAAGAAAACGTAACACTCCTTCACTGGGCCGCCATCAACAACAGGATAGATTTGGTCAAGTGAGTCCAGTCACGTTTTGCACGGAGTTGGTGGTGGCACAGTACCAGAGAGGTTAGAGACTTGGATGGTTGTTGAGTCCAAATCCCAGGACTGGCTGGAGATATGCGGTTGTCAGTTCACAAGTGTGAGTTTGAAATATGAAGCAAAAAATGACAGGTAAAAGAAGTGTGCTCAGCCAGCATACCCTAAATATAAGTTACATGTGGGAGCTGCTTTTCTCCTGCTTTTCTCTTTTTTTTGGACACAATTTTCTCTGCTTGGGCAGCTTTTCCTGTGTACTTTGTTGTTTAACAACCCGTTTCCACTGAGCCCTTTACCCCTATCAGAGGAAAATGGAGGCCCTGTTTCTAAACACACTGAGATTTGAACTAGCTTGATTCAGGTCGCTCAGTGAAGACAAGGTTAGCGCAAATTTAGCAATGAACTAGCTGTAGTTGCAAATGTATTAAGGTGTGGAAGACAGCATAAATGTTCCCCTCCTCTGTAAATACTAATTACTTCTTAAAAGAGGTAATGTTAGAGGAATTCAAGGGTCATAATTAGTATCGAGCTCAGTCAATGCAGTCCTGCCTTTCATCAAGACAGCAGGATAGTGTGGAACTCCCAACATGTACTCTAATTTCAAATTGAATAATAAAGGTTCAGTAGGCAACTTCACTTTTTGTCACGTTTGCTCTGTCACAATATCCTGACAGTAGTACATGAGACAGATCATTTGTGAAGAAATCTGCCTCCTTTTAGTGCTGCTAACAGCATTATCAAGACTCCACAGAGAAAAACAATCAATCAGAGCCGTACTGTCATTATTTTCTCAAATAATCAGCTAATTGTCTACAAAATTGTAAAAATGGAAGAAAAAAGCCTAGAAATACTCATCACACTTTCTTAGACCTCAAAATTACGTCTTGAAATACGATATAAAGATATATTCAAAGTCCATAAAACAGATAAATCTGAGGAGCTAGAACCAGAGTATGTTTGGCATTTTTTTCTTGAAAAATGAGTGAATCGATTAACAAATTAGTTGCAGATTAGTTTCAGCTCGACTCGTGTTCCCCACTTTTCATGACGGCTGCAGTGCAACTTTGTATTTGTTTTGCAGAAACCGGTTTTGGCTTGGTGTTGCCCACTGTGTATAGTTTGTATGGGCTCCAGGTCCTAGTATTTTGTCAGAAGATAAGCCAACAATCTTATCTGTTGTGGTTTTGTTTTTAAACCAGTTCTGCAGCCCACACCTAGATTAGATTGCCTAAATGAGATTCTCGGGAGAATTAATGCGGTATGAAGTTCCACCTGACGATTGTGTTTGTGTTTGCAGGTACTACATATCAAAGGGAGGCATAGTGGACCAGCTGGGAGGAGACCTCAACTCCACACCTCTGCACTGGGCCACCAGGTGACACACACTCACTGCAGATAACACATCTGCCATTTGGTGGACATGTGGAATCCACGGAGCCCTTACTTATTATTATTTGAAATGTAATTCATGCCTGAATACAATGTTTCCTTTCGTTCCTTCAAATTGATGTCACTAATCGTTATAACGGAAAGCAACTGAATCTAAGAAACACCTTTGTTAGCTTCCCGATTGTGGTCGGCAGAACATTTTAAAGTTATTGTTTATTTTACTTTTCAGAGAAGACAGTTTCGCCAACTTCCTCTGTGTCTTGTTCTAAATCCCTCCTACAAGCACACATTTATGACTCTGCTTGACTGAGGGTCTTATTCCTTTTTGTAATGGCTCGCCAACATCTCTCCCAAGCAGACAGTGGGGGGCATGAAGCGCTCCTCATCTTGAATTATTGATAGATTTGACACACGGGATCCACACCATCGACACTCACACACACTCAGGAGCCGTGTATCTCCCTCCACCACCCGGTCTCCACCCGCCGGTGACCTTTAAAAGCCCCCCAGCCTCCTCTCGTCTGTGTGACCACAGCTGTTTAGACACATGCTGGAAGCACCGGGTGTTTTGTCTGCTCACGTTTACACGCAGCAAATAAGTGAAAGTCCTAGAACACAGTTCTCACTTGAAATAAATCTATGACTTTGCATTTATTCTAAATTTTCACCAGTCATTATTGTCCTGCAGGGGAGGTTTACCTTGCAGACAAGGTTCGTAATGAAAATACATTTTGAAAACTCAATATGCTATATGCAATAAAAGCATGTAACAAATCACCCGCTACACCGCAGAGACAAACACCAAGCGATAAGAGCAGGGAGTCAGTCTCTCGATGTCACGGCAGCATATGAGGCTACATCATTTCACGTGCAAATAAGGCAGTTTAACAGCAGCCGGAGTAAATGAGACCCTGATCTTTGGACTGTTGAGTTTAAGCCTGGTCACTCACTCAGCAACTAAATGTGTAATCGCGTTCACCCCAAACCTCAGGAGAAAGACAGGAGTTATTTGTTCCTGCGTGTCACCGGCTATTGGCACGCTGCTGTTCATTTTAAAAGATGTTATTCTTTGAGTAGCGAGTTGTCGGAATAAGAAGTGTCCTTTTGTTTTGCGCTCATCTCGTCCCAGACAAGGCCATCTATCCATGGTGGTGCAGCTCATGAAGTACGGCGCCGACCCGTCTTTGATCGACGGCGAGGGCTGCAGCTGCGGGCATCTGGCCGCGCAGTTCGGCCACACCTCCATCGTGGCCTACCTCATCGCCAAAGGACAGGTAGGAAATGTTAACACTGCGGCTCATTCGTCATGCACAAACTGGTGCTTTTCACAACAGCAAAGGTGCTTGTGTGACGGGGGATCTTTAGGAGGTTTACTGCAGTCCACCAGGTTGTTCTTAAAGACGGAGATAGATGTTGCTGTGATAGCAAAAGTCTGTTTTGAAATAAATTGGCACCAGTCCTCTCCAGTAGGGGGAGCCCTATTGCTTCTCTTTTCCACCTCTCACTCCTTCAGTTTTTTGATTGCATCTTTCCTCTGTATCAGGATGTGGACATGATGGATCAGAACGGCATGACTCCTCTGATGTGGGCGGCTTACAGGACACACAGGTGCGTACCTGTGTAATTTGTGCATGTTGCTGCTACAGCTCGGTGATTAATTTCAAGCTCAAACCTCTTAAACACCAACAGTTGCCACTGTACCACGCGAAAGCTCGAGCATGTTTCTGCTGACTGCAGCCACACGCACAACTTGCTCATGCATAAATCTCTAAACACAGAAACAAAGTCAGCTTCATCTGAATATTCCCTGATCAGCCTTTTTTGTCTGGCCTTCATTTAAAAATGTACTTATTGACCCATTAGCTGCAAAAAAAATTAGTATGAAAACTAATGAGGTAATGATTATTAAGAGCTTCTGTAAATGATGATGTAAGAAATTAAATCCGATGCAAGCAAATTTCAATGGATCCTTTTCTAATGACATTGAAGGCTTTCTAGTAGTTGAATTGTGCTGCTGTTTCAAGCTAAAATGGCAACAAAAATAATCTGGTTCCAGCTTCTTAAATGTGCTTAAATATGATGCTTTTTTTGTCATACTTGATAGTAAACTGAATATCTTTGGGGTTTTACGTTACCTGAAGGCCACCGTAGTTCTCCGACACGCTTGTGAAACAGCGGTAGTAGTGTTATTGGTGTCAAAGGAGGCTGAGCAGAGGGGTGCTCAGTTGTTTGCAGTCTGCAACCACACCGCTGCATGCCACCAAATTCTACACACTGTCCCTTTAAACCGATGGAGTTTGGTTCTAAAGTGTTGGGTATGAGCCAGACAAATCCTTAACTTTTCCAACTGTCTTATTTTTTGTGATCACCTTCCCGTTATCGTTGTCCATCTTCGTCCTTGTGACGAGCCGGCTTGTTTGACTGGATTTTCCCCCGTTGTGTAACAGCGTGGATCCCACCCGGCTGCTACTGACCTTCAACGTCTCTGTCAACCTGGGCGACAAATATCACAAGAACACGGCGCTGCACTGGGCCGTGCTGGCCGGCAACACCACCGTCATCAGCCTGCTGCTGGACGCCAACGCTAACGTCGATGCACAGAACATCAAGGTAACACCTTAATCCACTGTCTTCGTGTGCCTGTACTGCCGTATTATTTGGATTTATCCTGAGCTTTTTGGAATGGTAGATTTGTATAGACCTTTCTTGTGTTTGTTTGTTTTTAGGGCGAAACACCGCTAGATCTCGCCAAGCAAAGGAAGAACGTTTGGATGATCAATCACTTACAGGAAGCGCGACAAGCCAAAGGCTACGACAGCCCATCCTACCTGAAAAGACTGAAGATGGACAAGGTACACATTCAGACACACAATCACACATGCTTAAATGCATTACATTATATGTCAAGAGACGGGATAGGCAGGCATGGAGTAGAAGAAACATCAAGCAATTTGAACCAATAGACAGAATCCTTTTCAGTCGGGTCACATGAACCACCTGATCTCTGCTGTAAAGACATGCACACCTTTGTGTCTCTGTCTCAGTTCAGACGGACATGCTCAGACCAGCCTGTCCACACTGAACCGTTGCACTGCAGCAGCTGCACAGCATGTCTGGGGTTGTGATTAGCTTTTAGTCCAAAGCTGGCCTCCGATCAGACAGTCTGACAGGGAGGAGATGACTTAAATGACGGGTTATGTCTGATATTACAACTACCGGAAAATACAGGGACAACTTTTATAGCGTCCAGTCACCACAGTGGGTGACTTGACATGCATCCTGATAAATAACCTCTTCTACTCAAGCTTTGAACTTTGAACACTCAGAATGTTGATTTAGTTTTCAGAAATATTAACGATCGTGCATGCATAAACTTGTTGTTGCTACTTAAAACTGTTTTTAACTCTTGTTGTCTTTCCACTTGTCTGCTGGGATGTTATCAGTTAATGAAGGTAACTTTTAGAATGAGACAGTAAGTTAGCATGTAAAAACATGACGAGAATTGCTGCCCATCTGAGGTTTGCCTCACCTTTAGTCCAGATCCCTCGTGTCAGGCCCAGTGCTGTAGTGAGTAGAGCTTTACAGGCCATGTCTAAATTTGTAGAATACATCTAACTTGTTTGGTTTGCTGTTTACCTTTCTTTATACCTCCACAGCTGAGCCAAATGTGATTCAATACAAATAGCTATAAAAATATGTAATACTTGATTTGTATAAACACTTTATTTAAATATTTGCTTGCTATTTAAACATGACATTTTGAATAATTACTATTTCGCTGTGATTTCTCCGATGACTCTTCTAATATTCAAAGCAAACTGCTGTTTGCACTCTCGCCTCGAATAGAAACTATTGTAAATGTGTACAAGGTTTCTGATCAGTCAGTAGAGAGATGTGTATGGTCATGATTCATTACCCTGGCTGATGTGAATTATAGGAAATATTTGTACTTTTACGCAGCTCAATGGGACTCCTTCCTGCTTGTAAAAATCTCATCTGTTTTTTCCATTTTTTGTCTCGTCTCATCTCTTGCCCAACTTCCCTGTTTCTTATCAATCTTCATTTTCTCTGTCTCCCCCAAATGCTTTGTCTTTCACCTTGTTTTTACACCATTCCACTTTCTTTCTATGCCTTTGTTTTCACCACCTCTACTACATCTCTCCTCTCCTATACCTCCTTACTCTCCTGTTTGTTCTTTTATCATTTCCTTCCTCTCCTCCTCCTGCAGGAGTTCAGGCAGAAGGTGATGCTGGCGACGCCCTTCTTGGTCATCTGGCTGGTTGGTTTCATCGCTGACCTGGACATCGACTCCTGGCTGATCAAGGGCCTCATGTACGCCGGCGTCTGGGTCACCGTGCAGTGCCTCTCCAAGTACGTCACAATTACATGAAAGACACAGATAACACACCCACACACTAGCTAGCATACACACAGGACTAGTATTACCTGGGGATTTCATGTCATTTTTCAAATCACCCCCTAATGTCCATGTTTTCGCCAAGTCTGTATTTAACTCGAATTTACTGATGTCAAGGCTCTGCTTAACATTTGGTTATTTTTGCTTATTAATAACTTACAGAAATTGTGTGTTAGAGTCCTTAGGCTTCCACCTTTACTTCCCGTCTCTCTCGCACTATGTCCTTGTCTCTGAAACTATCTCAGTATTTTATTTTAAAGATAGATGTAATCATTTCCAAAGTTCACAAAATGTTCTGCTTCAAACTGTTGGCGTTTAGCCTTTCAAAAATATTTTCATTGCGGTCAAAAGACAGGTCCCGCACGCACCTGCGATAACAATCTTACTGTACCATATTACATTAATATAGCAACAATAACACAATCATATTGTTCCCATTTTAAGGGTGATACAATCATAAAATATGACAACAGATGTTCCAAGCTTCATTCTAAAACCTCAATCAAAGCATCTAGCGAGATGAAGGTCCTGAATTTGCACCCAGAATGCTGTCAAAACTTTTAATATTAATAATTACCTACACAGCCTCCGTAATTCTGGGAAAGAGGCAGAAAAAATGACCCCAAATCACACTGCACTGGACTGACACTATCACATTTGCGGTGGAAATTTTCTTGTTGAATTGCAGTCATGGCAGATTCTCACAGGATTAAGATCAGTTATTACAAATCACTAAAGATCTCCGGATGATACTAGTCCCAATGTCCCAATTTAGATCCGAATGTCGTGACACCACACACGTACGTTATACTACAATAGATTTACTTGACACACCCCTGAATACACCCATTCTTTATTGCACCAGCACATAAACTGCACACACACATATTCTTGCGTGCAAACAAACATGTAATTTCCGACATTCCACACCATTCCTTAACAAGTACTCCCTTAAGCACACACACATACACACATTGTTCCCCCTACTTAAGCCCCATTACCTCTGCCACCTGGTCCTGCTGCTATAGTTTGTTGTGCTCCTCAATACTGTTTGCTCTGTGACTAAGATAACACACATTACGCAGTGTCTTAGCTTCTTTTTACTGACATTCTTGGAATACCTACTTGGTGAAAAAACAATGGTGACTGAGTCCAACTGCAGGTTATGGGTTGGTTTATTTTTGCTGCTGTCTGCAGGATTCAGATCTAACACCCAGGTTTGCATTTGACCACATGTGCTACAGTGAGCAGCTTCACATCTGCAGGAAGAGGGCCTTGATATATTGAACACATACGTTATGAGCTGAGCAGTGCCTGCAGTGGGATTGATGCCCATTAAAGGACAATTCTGGCTTCTTATGACTTTTTATCTACAGAAATAAGTTCTAACAAGACAAAAATTCAGAACTGAACAGATGACCATTTTAAGAAACACTGCTAATCACTATGACCCTCCTCCTGTCTCCTCGCAGGGCTTTCTTCGACCACTCCATGCACAGTGCTCTCCCTCTGGGAATCTATCTGGCCACCAAGTTCTGGATGTACGCCACCTGGTTCTACTGGTTCTGGAACGATATCCTTTTCCGTCTTAAGACGGCATCAGTCTTTGTTTTTCTCAGAGCGATAGTTTGACATTTTGGGGAAATTCCTTTATCTTGCTGTGAGGTAGATGAGAAGAATGATCTGTACGGGACACACGAATAAATGTTACAGTCAGCAGCCGATTAGCTTAAAAAAAATTGGGATGACTTCCCATGGAGCTTTGTTCTGTGCAATATGAGACTGAATATGTTTATGGTCATACAGAATGTAGTAGTTGCTCAGTCAGATTAGTCCCATGCCAATGCTTCCAGACCAGGCAAACACCGTCTGGAAAACAGATGTCAATTTAAAGCCTTGCACTTGTGTCACATGCTGGTTAAAATGGGCTATTTATCTTTGGCTTATTAGCAATTGCACAAGTCATTCAGCAAAAGCCAAGAGCTTTTGTGAATCTGTTAGGGCAGTTTGTAAAATTGGCAAACATGTGATCTCCAAGCAGAGAGGATCTCAATAACATATAGACTTGTAAAATTGATTTATTTTTTTTCTGCTGCCTGTGATGCATTTTGGTTGCAGAGGAGAAAAGTGCTTGTGTTGGCCTGACGGAACATCAGTGAGATTAAGTTACAGGCCCGTGGACTACCTGCAGAAAGAGTTATAAGAGTGGAAACTCTGTGAAACAACTGCAACTGCTCAAACGGTCTCATTGTGATGGAGCTAACAAATGTGCCTGTTGCTGTGTTAGAGTTGTGAACAGGGAGTTCAGTGTGTAGCAGCTGCTGGGCGAAACCCAACGAAGCGACTCCAAAGAGTTGCAGTTGACCTCAGCGCGGCTACTCTCAGGTTTTTATTATATTTTAATGTAATGGTAGAATTGCCTTTCTGTTGGAAAGCTACTAATTGTGAGAGGGGAGTTCTCGTTTGTGGAAGGCATTTGATTTTATGCCTCACTGCTCCGCTAATGGGAAGAGGGTAAGATGACTTTGACCGGAGCTCATTGGAAAAGAAAACTGTTCTCTTTTCGGTTCTTGTGAAATGCTGCTGGAGATTTGTTCTGAGCATGTTTTTGGTGGGTGTATTACGTGTCTACTCGACATAAAATTGACGGAGGGAATCTACTACAATGACAGACCTGCTCCTTAAGTGAGGTTTACACATGCGTGCACTCAGCCTCAAAGAGCAGCGGTTAGGTTACGTTTCAACCTGCAGTCTTGTTCGTACACGGGTCAAAAGTTGCCCCTTTGACGACAGGCAGGTTCTTTCTTGTCTGGAGAAAAAAAGAGTGAAAAGAAGAGTTCTTCTCATTTGCCCTCCAGCTATCAAGGTAGTCAGACCACACACAGGCTTGTGTGCCGTATCTGCCATGTATCTCTTTCCAGTAATGGTGTCTTTTTAGTTGAAAGTCATGTTCCTGACAGCTCATATTTTTATAATCACATGTATCTATGCAAATTGAGTGATATGTAAATCAGGAGCACTGTGGGACTGGATGGTTTGGTGCTTCCATAACATGTCTTCTTTCAGACTAGTGGAAATGAAACATCCAAAATACACATTTCGGTGTTTACTACTTTCTCTATTTGTGTCTCCTGTCAAAGAACTTGTAATACAAAAAATAGTCTTAATGTAAGTAATCAACTGGGGAAGTTTCATGCCGATTGACTGTTTTTTTTTACCCTATTCACCTATAGTGTCTCCCCTTAACTAGAAGTTAATGATATATTCAAAGCTCACATATGATCGAGACCGTTGCCATAATGGCACACACTTTTGGACACTCTTTCCTGGAAGGCATTCATCGTGTTGCACTTGTTTGTGCACATGAAAAGTGACAGTAGTTGTGTTGAAAATGAATAAAGACTTTCTCACCTCAACACAGCTGCTCAATCTCTGCGTGAAGTTGGCATGAATTAGTGGAAACGCAGGAAATTACAAAGTCTGAACATCGCAATACAAAAAAAATCCCCTTGGCTGAGGTGGAAAAGTTTTGTGCATTGATTAAAAACAAATTGTGACAAAAGTGCAATGAAAACGGATGTAGCGAATGAATCTCAATGTACATGTGCTTGTGATTTGATCGTCCACTGAAGCAGAAATGGCAGCAGACGAAAACATCAGATCTGTGTGGAGAGGTAAGGAGACTAACTCCATAATGCACCGTCATGTTTTCTGCATTGTTTTTCACTTGTTTGAGGTTTGACTGGAGCTCTTTTAATTACGCTATTTCCAATGGTTTTTATGGTACCCGACCACCAGCTGTTAATCTCGATGCACCCGACTTCTCATATTAAACAAAGCATAAGTAGCGGATGGAAACGCATTTTAATTTGCATTTTCTGGAAATTCACTTTAAAATTTGCACTTAAATTCTGCCGTCTGAAAGCAGCGAGGGAAGTGGTTTTCCGAAGCCGTTCCAACGAGCTCTTGGTTTATTGATCTTGGATTTGAGGATTAGAATATAAACCTTGTATTTGAGCTGTGGGCTGAAGGACTTCAACATCTGGCCTGACGATTATCTGGTTGGATGTGAGTGGAGACGTTTCACTTTTTACTGTTTTAGGTGACCTTTTCTCCCAATGAGCAAAATGCTGTGTTTTTCCTCAGAATCAATAGACTCTTGAATGCATTTTCAGCAGGTGACCCTGGAGTTTTGTACTGGTGATGTAGCATTAATGTCACTATAGTATGTCTGCACGTCATAGTAAGTCTTCAGCAGCAAACTGATGGATCTGTCTGTGACCCTCTTGCTGTTGGGTAGGGAGACTTGTCAAAACCACCTCACCACTCCTTTCAAAAGATAACTGGGTGCTAACGGGAGGTGACCACAGTCTCTCCCTGAGGAAGCTTCAAACCCATTTGTCTGAGGAGTTGCATTGATCGCTCTGCATCTCCACCGGTCCCTGAGTGAGCAGACCAGTGGCAAGCTCTGAGAGGGTTTGACTCATTAAGTCAACACCCAGTTCTTTGTGGAGATACTTCTGAAGATCAATGGCTTCATGTGGTCTTTAGGGACTAGTAGAGGCCTCTCACTCTGTCGGTGCTGAGTAAGTGCTCATCAGTGAGGTCATAACTGTGCCAGAGGGGTGAAAGGAAGGTTGCTGTTGGGGCATGTTATTGAGATGCTCATGGTGTGTGTGTGCCTCGTGCTTCAGAGGACTTTAGTATTGTCTATTATGGTGGATTTGGCATTTTCGAGGTTGGTGTTCGCATCCAGTTTGCTTTGACGGTCCAGATCCAAGCGTTCAGTTTGGTTTGAACTTAAATAACTCATTATGCCCTACAATTCGGTAGAAGAAGAGAAACTTCAATTTACAGCCAAACCCGAATCTATGATTTAAAGCAGGGGTCTTCAATGTTTTTCAGGCCAAGGACCCCCAAACTGATAGAGAGATGGAGTAGGGACCCCTGACTATATATATATTGTATAAAATTGTGTTTTATATTAAACTGGGCCTAGTACCATGTATACCTCTTTATTGTGCATTCAATACTAAGCTTTTCAAATAATACACAGGTTCATATATTCATGTTTTTATTTTAAACGTGCAAGGTACAGTGAGTAGGGTGGCCGTGCCACTGCCATTTAGAAACATACCTTGTCAGCTTATACCAATATCAACATTGTCTGCCAATTGCATGATAATCATGCATACAAGCTATTCAAATTGATGTTTTTATTTTAAACAAAAATAATGGACAGATTCATGTTTGGGGAAAAAAAAAATTGTCTAATCAACCAAAAATTTCACGGACCCCCTGTTGAAGACCTCTGATTTAAAGGATGATGAGTTTGGCTGTAGATAATAATGGAAGTAGTATTTGATGGACGAGAAAAAAGTGGCAGTTATTTAGGTTTAGATGTCCAGCAAACAGCTGACACAGGCCTACTTTTTAGCAAGCCTAGCTGCGTGGCAAAGCAAACTTTACTTGGTGGCCAAACGGTGGAATTACAATTTCCAGGTCCGTCATGTGATGCTTTTGGGTCCAAGAAGACTTTTTCTCATTGTCTTGCATCGGGAAAGAGATTTCTGTTACTAAGCAGATGGAGGGCTGGGAGGCCGGGTTAAAGGAAACACTAGTGAGCTTGCTCTATGGGCCCCATAATGCTGAAGATCAGGTCATTTTATACTCGGAAGTCAAACTTTCACAGGAATGAACAAGGGTGCTGCCTCCAACACTCTATCCAGTTCTCTTTATACATTCATGGATGAATCCCTCTGACTTATGCACTTGGTAGCATTTGAAGCCTAGAATATGATCCCAACACATCAAGTGGAAGCGTAGTGGTCTGCCAGCTTCCATTCTCAAATCTTTTGTTGAAAGAGTATGGGGGGGTCATTTGCAAGATGCAAAAGACACATGTGAAGCTATTTCTCAACGATTCTATATATATATATTTATTTTTTTTTTTTTTTCAAAATTGTCATATTTTTCCCACTTTCCCATTTTCAGCCACACATTAGCAAATCTGGGCCTCTCTGTGTCACTTGGCTGGTTTTCCTGTGGGATTTTAGCTGAGTCATGCCCACCTGCATGAGTGACTCTGCTCGTAATCCGTTACAGGCTTCACTTGTTTACACAGAGGACCGTAGAACCTGCACACCAGTGCTCTATGGGAACAGGTATCGGCCCATGTACATGTATACATTCACTGCATAACAGCGTCACATAAACAGTCTGCTAGTGCTGGTAGTTTCCTCTGTGAGAGCAGGAATGGTTCATGGTTGCAACAGAACACAGGACAAAGTTTTGTTGACATATTGGCTTAAAAACAGGAGGATTCTCAGGCAAGAATAAATAGGATTTGATCGTGGCAAAAAAGAAACTGCAGTTGTTAAAACTGGTGTAGCTGTTCGTTCGTCTTCCTTAACGTTCGCTGCACATCTCCCCTTTGCCACCGTCCACTTGCCCTTCCTGTTAAACACCATTGCTCTGTTCTACAACTTTGGCAAGTCCTGGAAGTCCGACCCGGGAATCATCAAAGCGACCGAGGAGCAGAAGAAAAAGGTAAAGACACCAGCAGCAGGAACACCGTTTGAGAACAATGTTTGAAACCCTACTTAGTGATGATGCGTTCTTGTGTTTCGGCCATTTTTTTCTCCTTTGAATGTTTTTGATTTTGTTATTTTTGTCGTGTATCTTACTACACAAAGTGTTAAAGAGCCAGTGTGTAGCACTTCGGGGGGGATCTGTTGGCACTGGGCGGCTAATGTTACAGCAGTCTTGGAAAGGGGGGAGTGAGCAGAGGGCTGATCCTACACACTGTCCCTTTAACGTATGTGCAGTGAATACAGGCGTCCGATCATTTGTTTTACCGAGAACACGACGTGATCGCGGTTGATTCCTCTGGCCTCTTGGTGTCTCCGTCCCTCATTATCGCACTCTAATGGGGGACAACAGAGGCCTCTTCTTCCCACCGGGCCCCTGTGATTGATGGACTATATTTACCCTGCATTGTTCAGCACAGCGCAGGACTCTCCTCTGCATCAAAGGCTTCAAAGCTTTCCATTCACTGCAGAGGAGCCATTCCACCTCTTGTTTTCCTCTGATTTCTGCAGCTTTAGTTTATTTGCACAGTGACGTAATGTCTGAAAACAATCATATTTCTGCAGATTAAATCCAAACCCTGTATGTTAAGTATTTTTGCCTTCAAAACAGAAACCAAACTAATGGCTGTATGAAACTGTAATCCCATTGTAGCTTTAGTTTAGTGGGATCGCTCAGCTGGAAGCCTCAGCTTCAGCTTGTAGGCTGTCAGTAGGTCTTCTGTTGCGGTGCGGATTAGAACTCCAAGATTCATTTTTTTGTTGGTTGTTCATTTTTCTGCCACGCCTCTGCCTGCTTTAAAAAAATCTAAAATCCTGCTTTTGTTTCTCTTTTCCTTCCTCCAGACAATTGTGGAGCTGGCAGAGACGGGCAGCCTGGATCTGAGCATATTCTGCAGCACCTGCTTGGTAAAAATCTGACTCCTCTTTTACAAGACGATACATGCAGAGCAAAACAGAAATAACAATACAACCTTTTTTGCTCCTTTACGTCTGCGTCCTTGCAGATACGGAAGCCCATCAGGTCCAAACACTGCGCCGTGTGCAACCGCTGCATCGCCAAGTTCGACCACCACTGTCCCTGGGTGGGGAACTGTGTCGGTACGTTAACGCCGCCACAGATTCACGACGATGTCACGCTCTCCCTCAAACACTCGCCATTTTCCTTCCCCTGACAGAGAGTTGTGGCTTTTTATTGTGGTGTTTTATGAGCTCCATATTCCACTCTAACAAGCAGCATGTGTCCGGACTCCTGCTCTCAATTTGTTCTTGAGGGAAATGCTGGACGTAAGCTGGGATCCTTTTAATGAGCACTGTTCCAGCAGATTTAGTTTGAAAAAAGGATTTGGTTATTGCTTTTCAATTCCTTTTACAGAGTACATCATGAAGTGTAGACTTGTTCAGGTTAGTTTTCATTTACTTGTTCATCAGTTCTCAACACAGTGGAGAAGGCTATCATGACGAGATTCAGGAAATGAAGAGGGCAAAGGTGCATGTGTCTGTAAACTTGTCACTTCTGGACTTTCCTTTCACTTGACCTCCATTCAGTCGGCAGAGAGATGACCAAAGCAAAGAGCTAAGGTGATGAGAATGGGACGTGACATGTTTGTTTCTCCTCAACAGGAAGTGGCAATCACCGCTACTTCATGGGTTACCTGTTCTTCCTGCTCTGCATGATCTGCTGGATGATATACGGCTGCATTTGCTGTGAGTAGGAAGCCCCCGCTCCCTTTTCCCTCGTTTTTGCTCTGTTTCTCTGCTGACTCCCTCCCTTCGGTCTCTCATCCCTCAGACTGGAGGATCCACTGTGCCACCAGCTACGCCAAGGATGGTTTCTGGCTCTACCTGACCCAGATCGCCTCCTGCTCTCCCTGGATGTTCTGGATGTTCCTCAACAGCGTCTTCCACTTAATGTGGGTGGCGGTGCTCATCATGTGTCAGCTCTACCAGGTCTGGGACAACTAGGATTTACACTTGAGCCTGTAATATGCACGCTTAAATAGTTGAGTCTGTTACTCTGTGGAATGTTGGCTGACCTCTTCGCCTTCTACCTCTCTTAGATCGCAGCTCTGGGAATCACCACCAACGAGAGGATGAACGCTCGGAGATACAAGCACTTTAAAGTCACAGCCACGTCCATCGAAAGTCCCTTCAAGTGAGTGATCTTCTCTTATTTGTTTACTACAGAGAGCTGAATCCCATCCTTTCAGCGAGTTTCAGTAAAAAGCATTGAAGGGTTCGCCAAAATCAGGGGGAAAAAAGATATGTTCTCGCTAGAGGAAGCTGTGTGTGGACTGATTAATATCCTCAAGTGATGTCACTTGAGTCAGAGGAACCTACGACTGAACTGTCGGCGGTCCGGTTGCACTGTGGGTAGTGGTGTAATGGATCACGGATTGATCCGTGATCCGTTTTGGATCAGCCCTCACGGTTCGGATCAGCCCTCACGGTTCGGATCACTCGTGAACCGTGGATCAATTGAGTATTTTTTTTCAAATTTCTTTTTACAGTTTAATCATCATAGTGTGTAATAAAGTTGTACTGCTGCTGTTCCTTTTCAAGTAACAAGTCCCCGAATATCAATGCAGAGTGTCAGTGAACAGATATAAAGCAGTCGTGTGTTCACGTGAACCGAGCAGGTTGAAAGCATTTAACGGCGGAAGTCATGGCGAGCGGAGGAACTTGAGAAGCCCCCGGCGTCATTTCAGTCGTAAGTTTGGGAGCATTTTATCTTCCCTGTAACTTATAATGACAGATAAGGGTGGTGGACGAAACCATTACGGTATGTAGGCATTATTTAAAGAGAGACACATTACATCGGCATGTCCACACATATGAAGAGACCATCCCGTCTGTCAGCGACGGGGGACACTCCGGTGTGGAAAACAAAGGATTTCAAAATCTGGTTAAAATGCTTGAGCCACGCTACGAAATCCACTCACGCACCCACTTCAGTGTGAAGCTTGTTCCAGACCTCTATGAAAAGGAAAAGACGTGACTGCTTTCACCACGGCGGAGTGGAGATTCATAGTCCGGCGCTGCAGACACGCCCCCTCTGTGCAGGTGCTGACAGAAGTAGTAGAGTGGAAGCTAGACACGCCCAATAGTAATATCCCAGTCACCACAGAAAGGTCTACCCTCACTCCAGACAATGGAGATATTCTCATCTTTTTGAAAATAATGTCACAGTAATGGTAAACATTATTTCAGTGTATTTGAATGGCATAACCTGACAGGAAGTAAACATAGACCCAAGTTGTTGCCGAGCAGTTCAGTTAAGTGTAAACAGTGGAAGCTAGCTCACTGGCTGTTTCTCTCTTTCAATATTGATCAAAGGACGAGGGTATCAACATACCTCATGTTGCACTTAAACTTAACAGAATTGAGTATATTTGAATGTTTTATTTATTTATTTAATTTTGTTTCAAATTGGACATCTTCAATATTTTTGTTTTTATGTAAGATTATAGCCCAAAGTTCTTTTCTTTAAGTGTTTTTGAAGTTCTTTAATTAATAAATGGAAAGCAAAGTTATATTTGTCTCCTCCCCTTTTCTTTGTTGATCCGAAAAATTATCCGAACCGTGACTCAAGAACCGTGATCCGAACCATGAGGTTTGTGATCCGTTGCACCCCTAACTGTGGGTAATGTAGGCACCCGGTTTTGACAAGAGTGTAATGCTAAACTGGAGGAGTAGTCTTCAAATGATGCCACCAGCAGTTCTTAGAAATGATGTGATAGTACTCTTTAGTTATTACCATGGTAAATGATGATAACATGATTATCTCTCTCTCTCGCTCTCTCTCTCTGCAGCCACGGCTGCATCAGAAACCTCATAGATTTCTTCGAGATCCGCTGCTGCGGTCTGATACGGCCCGTGGCGGTGGACTGGACCACGCAGTACACAATAGAGTACGACCAGACGTCAGGCTCGGGCTACCAGCTGGTGTAGAGGAGGAAGAAAAGGGGAAGGTAGTGGGGGGGGAGGGGAGGTGTCCAGTGTCTCTTAGAAGGATTACCCCCCCCGCCCCCCCCCCCCCCCCCCCCCCCCCCACACACACACGCCGGCATTCATATCGGAGCGATGCTGTTCTCAAGAGCACTTGCTTTTTTTGGACCATCTCTCTCACACCGATCAAAAGACTTGGAAAAAAAATAATCAGACAGGACTAGCATGCTGTTACGGGGCAACACCACCACCCCCCACCCCCCCTCCGCCCTCACCACTACCTTTACTACTATTACTACTACTACTATTCTACAGCATCAGCCGTCCCACCCCTCCACCTCGTCTCCTCTCCTCAGCCCTTTTGGACGGTGCGTTGCTGCCAGGCACAAACAGAGAGGAGAGAGGCCGACAGTCCAGAGGAGTTACAAAATAAAAGCATTTCTGTTTGTACCGGAGACAGCATCTCTATTTGCCCCTCCCACTATATCCCTATTTATGGTGTCCCTGTTGATATGCCCTGTACGTATTTTGTTTGTTTTTGATTGGTTCAAGAAGTCTGTCGGTCCTGTGAAGGTGAACTGTGCTGGCCAGGGAGGCTGAAGGAAAACATTTTTGTTTTGTTTTTTAAATAATTAATTTGTTTCTAATTATGATAGAGATAAGGGAATTCTTTTTTTAAAGGTCTTGATTTTGCACCGGGATGAGTCGAGCTGATGAGGATTTGCCAACACAGTTGAACTCATCAGAGTTGGTTAAGAGGTGGAGCCGCCGCAGGAGTCCAACTTGTCACCTGTTTGAGACAAAAGCTGTTAGACGGAATTTTAGGAGATATCCGAGCGGTTTCTATTTTTTTTTGCACCCTGACAGCAGTCGTCGTGCGGCGTTCACACAGGACGAGGTGCGTGACTCCTCCAGCGGCGACCACCGTAGACGCGACAGAAAATATCCTACAGACAATGTGATACAGGTATATTTATTTTAAAACTATTTATAGATAGTCATTATGGGCTAGCACCACCATTTACATTTCACATCATTTTAGCTGAAGTCGGTTTTTATGAGAAGAAATGGTTAAACAAGTACCTGTAGCGGTTCGACATGGAACGTCACAGTAAACCTCTAAAGCGAGTGTATTTATTAGCAGCAGTAGAAGAGGAAGGGGAACGCGGCGGAAGGACGGACGAGTTTACAAGGAAGGTTCATTCCATGTGCGTTTCTCTCAAAAAAAGCTGTAAAGTCTTATTTGTTTTGTTTGTCTTTTGTCTGCCTACGACATTGCACTGATCATTTAGTTGTAGTTTTTTGGCTCTTTTTGGCTGTTACGGAACACATGGACCCATCAGCGACGCTTCCATTGTTTACAGAGAGGAAGAGGAGGGGCCCATCAGACATGGCCAACTCCCATCACTTCCTGTCTGCCCCCCACACACCCCCGCATTCAGCAGCAGGATGGACTGAAGTGTAAAGAATGTGCACCTGTACATAAACAATATCTTTTCTCTGTAACTATTTTCTTTTTGTCAGTGTTAGTTGAAGGTGCTCCTGGATTTCTATTTTCAGTTTTTTTTTCTGAGTTTGGGGGGGGGGGGGGGAGATTTCTTCCAACCAAACGGAAAGAAGAAGATCAAGTGACTATACTCCAAGTGTATGACCATAGCTTCTAGTGATGTCCGACACTGCTGTCTATTGGCATTTTAACCCCTAAATACCCTGCCGAGGACTATCCACTGCATGTACGATGCTTGGGACAGCTGGGCTCTC